CTCCTCGCTCGGTTGGCCCCACGTACACAGAACGATTTTCCGAGTGGCCATTCTTTCCAGAATTCCTTTGCAATTTGGGGCAAGGCGGCGCGCGTTGTGGCGACTCCCCCCACACACTCGGGCGGGGGAGTCTCCGCAGCGACCCCGCAGTCCTGCTGGTCTCCCAGCCAGCCACATAAATCGGGATGGAACGGGCGGCCGTGACAGGCGACGCCAATGCAAATCCGGGGTAAATAGGCTTCCAGGCTCTGGGGGCGCCGCACGCGCGTGCGGGGGTGGCGTGCGCCGCCTGTCCTCGTTGTGATCGTGGAGCGGGCATTGATGCGGGGTGGGGGCGCTCGCCGCGGAAGGCGCACCGACGGGCGCGTACCGGCGCTCCGTATCTTCCTTCCTTGCGGGCTCGTGACCTTACTTCCTCTTGTTCAGTCTATCGGACGTGAACTGCCCATGTGTGCTGCGCGAGACCTCTTGATATCGCATACGTCGTCGACAGTGCTTTTCCCGGAGGTTGCGCCCACCCGAAAGGAACGGACGCGTTCCCAGCCTTCCTCTGGCACATCAGCAACTTACGGTATCTCACGATCGTGTTCCTTCCCTGGACTGATCCTCTTGCAACCCGTTGTGCATTACGATAATATTGCGGCTTTGCGCCCCTCGCAACGCTGACTAGACGTCTGCGGCCCCTTGTGGCACGGCGCCTGCCCCTGTTTCGCGCACCGAGTTCCTGTGCAAGACCTGGAACGGTAACCGTCGGTCTGCGACGGGTCTCGTTGCTCGCGTGTCGCCGGCACATGTAACAACCCAAGCGACGCTGAGCCACTCTCGGGCACGTCCGATGCCTGAGGTCTGAGCTGCGCGCGGGCGAGAAACCCGTCGAGGTGTGCGTCCGCCGTGTGAACCCGTGTCTACGTCCTGGCCCCTTGCTCGCCTCGCGCTGATTCGCCGAAAAGACCAGCCTCTGCATGCGTGCATGTGCAAAGCCCTTCTGCGATATGGGCCGACATCAATTACCTGTTTCGACGAACGGCCGACGACGAAAAAAAAACCGCACGCGGCGACACCACACCCAGAAAGGGAGCGGCCCTTCCGCAATAGGCATCTCTCCTCCATAAACATCTACTGCTGCCTCGGGGGCTAAGGAGCCCCCGGCATGATAACGAGCCACGGCAGGCGATTGGTTTAGGCATGCCTGGGACACATGACAAAACGCACTAATTCGAGCGCTAGCCCCCAGCTTTTGCTTGAGCGCCAGGTCGGGTTTTGGTTGCCGGGCTGCTTAAGCGAGTGAATGGGTCGTGAACGCGATCAGCGCCGCGGGAGACAACGAGCTGCACGGGATACGTTTTTGCACAGCTGGGCTGGCATGAGGCGCATTCGGTAGTGGGAGCATCAAGGCCCTTGGGGCAGCTGAACACTTTGTCAGACACGCGGGAACGATGCGTATGCGAGCCAATCGATAGACCGGGAATCAAAGACGGAGCGAACGACGTTCGAGCGACTCGTGGTTGACACGAGCGGTGGCGAAATGCCAGGGAGAGAGCAACAGCCGACGAGCAGAGCAGGCTGGGCGCGGCCAGGCTCTCTCGGTTGATGATGCGCGTAGCACGCGAGGTGGAGCAGACACAGGCGAAGTCTATCGGTGTCGACTCCAGAGGGGAGAAAATGATCGCATAGGGCCCGTCCATTGGCCGTAAGGCAGTACGGCGATTGATAGCTTACTTAGCTTGCTGCAGGGCGCGATATTGAGGCCGAGCGCACACAAACAGCGTTGGACGGGCGAATAGCAAGCAGCCGGCAAACAATGTGTTGCACGGACGATGCGACGCAGCTGGAGGAACATTGCTACCGGGCCTCGAGCAGGCCCGAGGCACGGTGGCGCATGGGCGTGCCCGACGGCAGGAAGACGGTATGCGACCGCAGTACTTGATGACGACGGTCTTAGTGCCGGGAGCACGGGGACGATTCTGCCTGCGAGAAAGCCTAACGGGAGCTTCGGAGCAGGCCCAATCGCTTTCCGCGGTGGCGATAGGCTGCTCCGATCCGCGTTCGGTGCGCGGGCGTCGGTGGTCGTCGACGTCATGAGGACGAGGCGGGAGACCACCCGGAGACCACTCTGCGGGGCGTGGGGCCTCCCCCGTTGCGAGCAAACACCTCTGGGAGAAGCGGACACCGCAATAAAACGTAATAACGAAGGCTGGTCGACCGAACCCCAGAACAGCATGTCGGCCTCCAAACGCGGCAGGCACAGCAAAGCAGTCGACACGCGAAGCCCCGCTCGGAGTGCGGGGTGCGACGTCCGCGCGAATCCCGCGAAGGGTCTATATCCCTGCGCCGTGCGCTCACGGAACCGAGCATCATCCAGGTTGTGTCCGGAAATGGGCGCACGGCAGCGGCGGCACGGCTGACAGCTCAGAGGCTGTCGAACGCCACGGTCCTTCTCGAGAGGCGTCGCATCGCTTTGTGGGGAAGTTGCACTCCGAATAGGAAGGGAGCGGCTCCTTGCGTTGACGTGGGACGAGCAGTGAGAGTCTGGGGTATCCCGGGGTAGGAGTGAACGTGAGAGACAGGATCGATAGCATTCGACGTCGACGACGAATCCGAAGCTGCTACGGTTATTCGCGAGAATACCTTGAAGCTGTTCATCTGGAGGCGCCATAGCGGAAGCAGAACTAGCAGATATAGAGCCGTTCATAATGCAAAGTGGACCAAGACGCATGCAGACGTTAGCGGAGGTCTCGATCCTAGACATTCCGTCCCCTGCAGGGGACTATACACTAGTGTCTTGTCAGGGAATCGATGGCACCACTGTGAGCGAAAGCGAGTATTGTAGCGGTATGACCGTGAAAAGATTTGTGCTTCGACAGTCGATCTGGACACAACATGTCACAAACCGCCCGATCGATCTGACTATCCCCAACAAGCGTTGACGAAAGGGCACAAATCAACAGGGTTTTGTCAAAAAGTTCAGAAGAGTAGTGTGAAGGATGTCGTGAAGTGATCGAAGCACGACTTCACGACTGAAGTCAACGCGCAGTGAAGAGCTTCTATTGATCTCGAGGAGATGATAAGGCGTCCCATCGAGGCAACTGGCCAACATACAAAAGAGATGAACTCTCGAAATCAGCGTCGTTGAAAGAGCAGCCCGGAGGCATTCTATCGCAGACCGGCGTCGAAACTACTGCCGAAGCAAGACAGGACGAGAAATGAATCTGACAGTCGCCGCAATCGCGCGACGGCGCTCCTTAGTCTGTGCGCAAAAGGATTATGTTGACGATACGACGCCCGTCGCGACATTATAGACACCGAGACCGCCGGCTTACACCTAGTCTTTATGTTCTGATGGGGCACGGCGCAGTGCAACGACCTGCAACAGACCATGTCAGCATGTGCACCTTCGGTTAAACACCAACACATACGCAAGCTTAAATTTGAGCGATAGGCTTTCGTGCCTTCGGATGTTGCCATAAGCGGTGTGGCCTGCATTCCAGACCCACCTCGTCCAATGCAGCAGCGCATCCAATGAGCGGCGGCCCACACCAAGCCCGCGCGCCTACTATAAGCTCCTCTGCCTTCCGTGACTCGTCGCCAAGAAAGCAGTGACGCAAGAATAAATGCAGGTGAGCAGGTGCTCTGGCATATGAACAACGGTGCTGTGCACAGAGTCTGGCCAGCGAACATGCGAGCGGGCGCTCTACTAGCGTCAGAGAGCATATGACTTCGGTGCTGGCCCGAGATGTCGCTCTAGGAGCGCGAGATGTGGCGACGGCATGCAACAAAAACGGTGCTGCCACCAGGCCCAGACCGCATCTGAAAGAGCCTTGTGCAGCGAGAGGACAACCCCAGATGCGCACGATATAGCCTGAGAGACCATCACCTATTTGAGTCAGACAGATGGACTGATAATTGTGCCGACTCTACAAAAGTGAAAGCGCGGTCCGGAGAGCGTCAAAGCGCTCAGAGCTCCTCATGGGCCACGGCTCGAAGCGTGGTGCGACGGCATATGTCGGGTTCGACAACAGGATGAGTAACCAGAAGAAAGATCAACGTGCCGGCGGCGGGAGTAGCACAAGCGAGGCGCAGAAAGAAGAAAGAAAAAGTCCGAACGGGTTCTGAACGGACTCGGCTCAGAACGCAAGTGACCCACTGGAAAAGAAGAATATCTGCAAGTAACCATTCGCTATGCGGTTGCTATTGCTCGGATGACAAGGCACACGCTGATGTGCAGCGCGTGGATAAATGATCGCTATTTGATGTGCCGGAGGATGAGCGAATCTTGCGGTCGTCGCGGTGGGCGAGACGCGCCTCGTACTTCCCCGCGCGCTAGACATGTGATAGCAGCTCGAGCGATGAGGACGCGACGGAAGAAAGGCGGATGAGAAAGGTCTGCGGTCGGATAGGAAGCGCGGGGGGTTGTAAAAAAGTCGTCATCGTTAAAGGCTATCGCCTGACTCGCGAGCTTCGGGCGTAATAGTCGGGAGAGCAGGCGAACGGACTACCTGAAGGTGGGCTGACTCGACTGTCGTCCGACACAGTGCGGAGTGCCCGTTTATGCAACGGCGATGTATTGTGGCTCAAGGATGACTGGGCGCTTGGTCGCTGGTCGGGGGAACTGGACAGCGATGCAATGGCGGGCGGGCAGGCGTTGTGGAGCAGCGGCGTGCCGACCCTGGGGGGGCGCGCAGCGAACGAATGGGGAGGGACGGCGTGGGACGGGCCGGTGTCCGGCTGTGATTGGCTCGCGCTCGGACTGACGGGTCGAGGAGCCAATGGGAGCGGGCTGGGAAAACCGCGGGGAAAGTGTGCAATGGGCGGCTCGCTTGGGGTCGGAGGTCCACGGTGGGACTGGTCTCGGAGACGGTCTCGGGGGCAAAAGGGGAAGGGAGACGGAGGATCGTGAACGGGATCTGGGATCTGAGATGACAAGCGATGAATCTGAACGCTGTTGGTCTGGACTGTTGATGGGAGGGGGCGGCTGTTATTGGACGGCCTCGGAGGGCTTTATATCCCATCCCCACTCCCCGTTCCTCTCCCCTTCCCTCGCCACCCAGGAAGCGTTCCGCCGCCCTCTTTCGTCCATCCCTCTGAAACTCTTCAGTCATGGACATTGCCTTCGACACCACCTGGTGTCCAACCTGTTCTCGCCAAATACTTCCAAAGCGCATACAGGTCCCCGTCAATGCACCTGTCCCGGCGCCCACTGACGATCAGTCCCAACCATTGCAGCAGGCTGCCCCTGCTCCTCCGCCGACGACGCCCACAGCTCGTAAGTGTCATCTTCACATCTTACCTAGGCTTGTTCTCACTCCTTTCATTAGCGGCAAAGGGCGCCATCACCCGCACAAAGACTGGCACCATCCGTGCGCGCACCGCCGGCGGGCTTGTGCACGGCACAGGGCGCGTCAAGCCCAATGGCGCTATCCGCCGCTCTCCTCTCCAAAAGTCCACTACCGCTACCGCCGCGACCAAGGACACCAATGCGCCCCCGTCGCCGACCACGGCGGCCCCACCGCCGTCACCCACCACACCTACTACTGTCCGCCACAAGACGGTCATCGACCAGTCGCCAGTGCCTCTCTACTGCTCTGACGAGTGCCGCCTTGCGGACCTCCAGAGTAGTTCAGGTGTTGCGATCAACTTCAACCCCTACCGCGACGAGTCGAACGTGGCCGGAGCCCGACGCTCCCGCCTGTCCCGCACAACTCCTTCGTAGGAGGCTCGACGGACAGTGAAAGCAGTTTGGGAACTGTTTCGGGCAGCAGTGTCGAGAGCGAGGGGATCATTCACGTCGCGATCAAGGCTGTCGGCGCGACAGCCTCCACTTCGTCTGCCTCCTACCAGGAGCAGAAGGAAACCAAGAAGGCCAAAAAGACCTTCGACGATCTTTCGTACCCCGTGCCGGCCGGCTATGCTCGCCTGGCTTCCGTCTACGACCTTCCGCCACCACCACCACCCCTCATCCGCTCGACAACGGCTTCGTCTACAGCATCGAAGGACTCTGTCTCGTCGATCCTCACTATCGACTCGGTTGACCACGAAGAGGACCGTCGCTGCAACGATGAGTTCTACCGCAATCGCCCTGAGGATTACAGCTCAGGGATCATGATGGCCGCGAAGCGCATAAAGGAGGCCGTCGAGCGGCCTAAGGAGAAGAAGCGACCGAGCTGGTCGACACCCGCCGGCGTGCTCTCGACGGCGTATGCTCTGAACACTGCTGCTCAAGGCACCCGCCGGGTTATTCCCGGTTGGACCGATGGCTCTGACCGATGGCGCGCGAGTGTGTACTCTCTTTCTGCTCCTTCCCGCGGCGAGTCTCTCGGCGAGGAAGAGGAGCGCATCCGCGACCTCTACTCCAACAAGGGCTTCGTCTCGACTCCGCTGCGGTCAAAGGGTGTCTACTCCACTCTCGGCGAATCTTCGGCATCATGTTCGAACGTTGCCAGCTCTTCCGCCTCCGTCTCGAGCTCGAGCACAGGCGTTGTCGGCTCTCGCTCCCGTAGTGAGGCCGAGGAGCTGTACTCCAAGTTCGGCATGAACTTCGCGAGGCGCGCCGATGCCCGGATGTCCCGCTCGCACCAGTCGAGTAACATGCCGGCGTCGCATCATCACCATCACGGCAAGCACTTTCACGCGCACCTACCTTCTTCGCCCACCGGATCCATTCGCTCGCTTCCCACCATTTCGGCATCGGCGCCCGTCGTCCGTAAGCGCGAGGTGCCCATTCTCAAGAAAGGCGCCGAGGGCAAGCTCCTCGTGCCTGATGTCAAACTCAAGCGCACCGATTCGTCGGCCAGCTTCGCCGCGTCCTCCAACGTAATGGACGTCGTCGGCGAAGTCTGCGAGGAGTGCTGCGAGGGTTACGACGGCTGTCGTAGCAACCCTCCGGCCGCAGGAGCTAGATATCATCAGGCCTTCAGCTTCAGCTGTCTCACATCGCCAGCTCGCTATCAATCTTGAGGCTGTGCACGCCAGTGTTTGTGGTGAAGTAAATCCATTATACTTTTATTTCGTGACGAGGAAAACAACCCGACAGAATATCCTACACAGCCCTATAAGTCCTAACTAAAATCCATGAACACAGGTCGTAGCGTATGATGGCAGAAAAATCGTGAAGGATGGAGGGGGAATCACAGTTGAACAAGCTGACGGTATTGACAATGCGAGGTCCTGGTATGGTAGATGATCGAAAGCGAAGCTCGAGATGACAACAGAAAACAGGAATGAGAGCAATAAAAGTACAATATTTACAGAGCTTGCGACGAAGCCTGGAGTTCATTGTTGACAATGATGATGCGCGTGACGAGAATTCAAGAGGCGCGGTCCGAAGATTAGGGTATAGTCAGCAGGCGGGTATGAGCGACGAGAGCGGCGAGCGAGCGAGAGCAAATGATGCTAGACGAGGGCGGGGGATCGCGACAGCGGGAGGCAGATTAGGGAGTGTGTGCGTGCGTGATATGGATAATGATACATGATGATACAAGTCGCGTGATGGCGTCGATGACGGTGGGGGTATCGAGATGGATGGTATAGGTGACAGTGAGATGCCTCAGTACTGGCGCGACGCCGAAGGGAACATGAACAGCCGCTTGCGCTCGCGAGGAACCTTGACTTCGATTTCAACTTCGCGCTCCTTGCCGTCGGGGCCAACTTCCTTGACAATCCTCTTCTCGATCTTTGGAAGATCGAGGATAGGGTAGAGGAGCTGGTCGGGCTTATAATTCCAGTGCACAGGATCCGTCTGGGATGCTGTGAGAGTACCGTAAGCATATAATCTGGTTTCGGGATAACAAAAGAACTTACGTCGTTTGCGCCTGGAGCTCGTAACACTGAGGCTTGCGCTGCTTACGCTTTCGGTGTCCGCGCTGGTGCTGACGCTGCTCACGCTCAGCTGGCTGTCGCGACGAACCATGCCCGGCGATGACTGCCGGCACTCCTCACGGAGAGGCAGCATTGCACGATGTGCGATCGACGGGACACTAGTTCAATGCGACGCGTCACTCTTCACTAGCTTCACTAGCCGACTAAAGCTCCACAGCGAGAATCATGCGTATGCAGTGGCAGCAGCCTGAAATATAATATCCTGACCTCGAAGAAGCTCCTCTGCGCTGCTCAGCGGTGTGCACGGCATTGCGATGACACAAATGTCCGTGCGCGTAAACCTCTGCGATTTACACTCAATGACGAACACGCCGCTCACTCGGACAGCCTCAGATGTGGGGCTCCTAGCTTAGTACGCGCATACACAAGGCACTGGAGATCTGCACGCGTTGATATCGCACGGGCTCTAAGTATACCGCACCCCTCGACATTTGCGGACAAGCTACGACCAGCATGACTCGTCACGGCACACGGGCGTTGCATTTTCAGAGGGGGAGGTAGCTCTCCGGGGAGACCCGACGTTGGGGAGACACACATGCGGAGCACGAAGACAAGTCGGGATCGCTATTTCAGATTTTCCAGATTTACACCCGCGCGCAGGTGTGCATGACGCGCTGCGACAGGACGCTGCGCTCCGCAAACACGAACCGCCACATGCTCGCCCAGCCGTCTTGTGTGTGCGATCGCGGGAGGACGCGGTGTCCCGACTCCCGCGTTGTTTGAGCCCCGTCCCGCGGGGCTGGCAGAGCGCGAAGCCGCGGCGGTGGCGGCGGCGGCGGACGCAACACAGGGGGGGACAGGGGGCGCCGCGGCCCGTTCCTGCGGCGGCGGCGGCGGTGCGACAGCGTTTTTCGTGTTGCGACGTGTCTCGCGGCGGGGGGCACCCAGGGCGCCCCTCGGAGGTGATCGATGACGGACCGCGCACACGCGCCGCGTGCTTTGCGAGCGTTGCCTCCGCCGCATTCAGTCGCGACTCAGCAGGGCGACCTTGCGGTGACTCACGGTTATTCAGCCGGACCGCGCAGATTGCATAAGGAGGCCGGGTGGCGTTGGTGTCAGTCGTGGACGTGGTATTCGACCCGAGGTGGCGCGTTGCGGCGCACTGGGCGATCGGGGGGCGGGACATGTGGCCCCGCAGAAGGCGGGTGGAGGCGCGGGCCCGCGATTGGCTGGAGCGATGAGTGGTGGACGGAGAGAGGGGCATCGCAGGGCCTCTGGCGGGCAGTCGGTGCGGAGAGCGCGGTGCGGCAGGCGCGTGGACGAAGATCAGGGGCGCATCAGGGTCGGGCACATCCGGATCGGGCAGCGCCCTTCGGGAGTCCTTTGCGCGCAACTTCGATGAGGCTATCGCGACGTCTAACGCCACCTTCCATCGACTCTCGGCCAGCATCGTGCGTGGGCGGATTCGTTCGCTGGTCCTGACCAATAACCTCTCAGGAACGACCTGTCTTTCGCCGTACAATATGCGGTTGGGCATCGCAGTCCCCGGTGCCTGCACAACGGTCTTTACGTACCAACAACGTCCACTTGGCCCAAGGTCGCATCGAGAACTCGGCAGTCTCCAACGTACAGAGCGTCTCGACCGACCTTCTTCCCATCTTCGCCGGCCTTCGCTGTATTGCTCCCAGCGTCTTGAAGCGTCGCTGATAGCTACTGGCGTCTCGCGCAGAGACGCTGCTCGCGCCCCGTCGGGCGTGTTTGCATGCCGTCGTTCATATGCGTCTTTCGACGGAGGCGGGACCTACAACTGCCATAAAGATACTTGACGTTCTAATCTTCGTTCCGATCTCCCTCGGCCCTAGGCCTCTGCTTTCGCGCTGGCCTCGTTCGGCCAGCCAACAGGAGCACTCTGCCGCGGCGCCGCACCTCTCAGCCAGATGTATGTTCCTATTTCCCCTCGCCCGCACGTCTTAGTTCCCGGTGCGCACCTAGCGAAGCACGTCTGCTGAAGGCGACATAAATGGCCAGAACCTCTCTTGCACCGTGCCGCGCAGCGGCAGCTGTCCGTGAGGCGTATATGCGCTGCTTATACGCTTACCGTCCGCGCCCCGGCACCGGTGGATCCCCTCCCAGCCGCGCTACCTACACTCAATCCCAGCGTGCTTCACACGCTCATCTCTGGAGCCCACCCCTTCGTCCTTCTCAGGGCCTTTTTCGCGCGGTTGGGCGTTCCCATTGGCCGCTTCGGCGTGTGTATTCCAGAGCGAAAACTGGGCTCAGGCTGCATCGGGAAGGCAGCCTTCCAGAACAGCTTGCTGATAGACTCGAGCGCGGTTGATGAGAAGTGGATGCCTGGATGTGAGCTTCGCCGGCGTGGACGCGAACCGGCCCTGGTGGAGGTCGAAGCGCATGGCGCTGGGATCCCGAGCTATTCAGCGCGCTGGGCCAGTGGGCACGCCTCACACAAATCCGGTTGTCCTACCACAGCCGCTGTTCGACTGGTCGCCCAGGGTCGGGTATGTCACGACATATGACAGACTGGAAGCGGGCTCAGCTGGCTTGGTCCCATGCCCCTTGGCTGGTGATGTGGCACCCGTAACCGACGGGTGCAGCTGACATTGGCCGCAGCAGCGTCTCGTTGATGCAGCTGGCTGGCCATTGATTCGAGCTGGGGCACGCCGAAATGCGAATTCGGTGGGTATATGCGTTTCTCGGGATACGT